TGACAGACAGACAAGAAAACAGATGCAGTGACAGGGAAGTGACAGACGAGACACAGATGCAGTGACAGGCCGCATCCACGGGACATTTGGCAAGCTGAGGTACAGATGGAACTCACTCCAGGGCCATCAGCTGCTTCTCTCAGGAGGCCCATGCACCCGCAATCCACAGCTGTGCCAAATAAAACCTGCCGCACTCCCACTTCTATGTCCCCAGTAGTGTCCACCCAACATCCATGTGTGCCCTCCCACCCGATGTCCTCTGATTCACAGATCCACACCTGCCGAGGACACAGCACTTTTGCAGGACCCAGTGTCTGGGCTCCTGCCCTGCTGAGAGGACAGGCTGCCTCTGGAGGGCAGGCCACAGCCGGAGGCCAGGCTATACAGGCCCTTCATGCCTCACTGCTTCCTAAACAGCGCGTGCGGTCTGTCAGCGGAGGAGCCAACCAGACTGTAGCAAGCCCCTGGATTAGAGACACGCTCCTCGTTTGACAGTTCAGGGCAGAGCTGTAGGCAGTCACACCAAGCAACATCCCTGTGACACCCCAGGCCCAGAACTCAGCCCTGCACCACCGCTCACAGAAGATGACGTCAACACCCCAGGGTGAATGGGTCCCAGGGTGAATGGGTCCCAGGGTAAAGGCTACAGCAGGGCCACTTCCCACAGGGGACTCAGGCAGTCCTTATCTCCAGTGAGGAGCATTGAGCCAGCAAGCTCCACTGAGGACACAAAAGTGACAGGGCCGAGCAAGATGCAGGATGGGAACGAGCCTCCGGCACAGGAGCCCTGGTTCCCTGAGGGTGGGAAAGGGGCCTGATGAAGATGGGCAAGAGCAGAGGGAGCTATTGACAGGCAGGGCAAACCTGGCAGGAGGACCCGCCTCACCCACCTTGTTGGCCTGAATCAAGTGGAAGTTCTTCCCATGAACTCGGAAGCCATGCTCGAAGTTCCTGCACTCCTCCTCACTCCAGGCGCAGAGCCCGTCTGCAAACACAAGGCGGGCTGCTCAGCCAGCTCCAGGGAAGCAGGGACAGGAGGGGAGCCCAGGGCTGTAGCTCACCTCGGATCACCTTTACGTTGAACCTCAGCCTGCGCAGGGCCTCCTCGACGTTGAAATTACACTTGACCAGCTCATACAGCGCCTGGGGCAGAGCACGGTTCACTTTCCCACCAGTGAAACAGAGCCAGCACAGAGCATACCCACAGCACAGCCATGGGCCAGAGGCTGCACCCACACCACAGCCACAGAGCCAGCACACCACAGCCACAGGGCCACAGGCTGCACCCACAGCATGACTCCCAGAACTACCATGGTGTCTGCACCTTGGCCCTGACAGCTGTAATACCAGGAGTGACATGGAACCCCACCGGCCACACTGCCTGCCCACTGTGTAGCCCGTACCTGCTCACTGTCCTTCACCACCTCGCCCTCTGGAATCTGCGGGCCAGCCATCTCCTGCCACCTCCGCTTCACTGCCCTGTACAGGAACTCCTCCACCTCCCGCTCTGGGAGCACGCTGGGGCTCCACAGCAGCTGGTCTTCATTTTCAAAGACTGTGGGAAGAAGCTGAGAGTCAGGTGTGACAATGGCCACCCACACCAGGAGAGCCAGGGCAGGTGCCTCAGCACCTCCCAGTGGCACCAACTCCTGGCACTTGCAGCTCAACATCACGCGTGGACCCAGACTGGCTATGAGCCCTCAGAGAAGTCAGGAGGCAGCAGGTCACAGGTGGCTCTGTTGCAATCCTAGCATAGACAGCAGCACTCAGTGTGCCAGCTGCAGGCAGGGCTTCAGCACACAGCAAGCCCGGGCAGAGACAAAGGGCGGCACAGCGGCACTCGCCTATGAGCCCAGCACTTGATGGCACTGGCTGGAGCATGGGGTCAGAGCCAGTCTACACAGACTGTTCTTGTAGCCTCAACAAAGGAAAAATCAAGCACACAAACAACAAAACAAAAGTGTGACATGCAGTGGGCTGGAGAGATGGCTCAGTGGTTAAGAGCACTGTCTGCTCTTCCAAAGGACCTGGGTTCAATTCCCGGCAACCACATGGTGCCTCACAACTGTCTGCAACCCCAATTCCTAAGGACCTGACACCTTCACACTAATGCACAGAAAATAAAATTATTTTTTAAAAAAACATGTGACACACAGACACAAGTCTATGGAAAGCCAGTTGAGTCTGTCACTGAAAAGTTCACACAAGCCCAGCGTGTAATCCCAGTACAGACACAGGTAGATCTCTGTGAGTTTAAGGGCAGCCGGGTCTACGCAGCAAGTTCCAGAACAGCCAGGGTTATAAAGAGACAACGTGTGTCAAAAAACAAAACAAGTATAGCCAAAAGTGAACCACAGGCCCAGACAGCTTCACTGAAGAACTAACACGCACTTCACAGAACATACTTGAAGGCCCTTCCCCACCCTAAAGAAAGGCAACTTCAACCCTTCCTCGGGGCAACATAAGCCTGGTAACACTTGACAAGGAACAAAAGACCAACTGCAGACCACTGGCCTTGAGCACACGAGCCTGGGCAAGGCAGCACCGAAGGAAAAGACTCCCATGTCAACTCCGCAGCATGCTGAGACCACAGAGCTGGACAGTGATCAGCCCCTGCTGCTCACGCAGACCTGGGCTCCTCAGACCCTCACTGTTTGCCTGCACTTCAATCCATCTCTAGTTAAGCATGCTTGCCTTTAGCGCCCGTGTGTGGCTGGAGACGGCTGGCTGAGCAGTGCCTGGGGCTCACCCTGTCAGGCCCCCTTAGACAGGCTGGCATGTTCTATGCTGTGTCACCAGCTGTGCGGCAGTTAAGAGCCAGGCTGGGGACATGGGTCCCTAAAGTGTGCCTGTGAAGGTTACACCTGGCCCCCAGCCCCTGCCTCACACTAATTCCTGCCCACCATGAGGAAACCCCCTCTGCCAGGTGCTCCCCACGCCATATTCTTTTGCCCAACAAATAAGGACCAACCTTCTGAAACTGTGAGCCCAAAGAGATGTTTTTGTGACCAGCCTGAGCACACATGCACTCTCTCTCTCAATCTCTCTCTCTCTCTCTCTCTCTCTCTCTCACACACACACACACACACACACACACACACACACACACACGGCGGCAATGGAGCTACCACACTATTGCTGGACTGAACCCACCTCCAAGTCCCGGCTCCACCAGTCTCCACAGGCACACAGTGCCCTGCGTGGATGATCCCACTCCAGCTCCACAGGAGCTCAGAGGCAACTACAAAGAGCAAATAGTGTCGAAGACAGGCAGAGGGCACGACAGCTTCCGGGAGGAAGGAACCTAGCTTCCCTATCACTGCACATAAATGTTCACAATGACCGGAAAATGTAGCAAGCGTTGTTTGCAGCTTAGAGAGCACAGTGGCAAAAAGGCAGACCACAGGTGGCCTGTGGAGGGCAACCCTTCCTGCCAGGGCTGGCCCAACAGCTGTGAGCCCAGCGGCTGACGCCCTTCGCCACACTGGCCTAATCTGGAGCTCGCACAGGATACCCAACAACAACCGATGCTGGCGGCTGGACGGAGGGACTCTTCCTCTGCCGAGGCATCAGCCCTGAGTGCTGTCTCTGAGCATGGCACAAGTGAGGGCACTCCTCACGCTCACCTGGAACTGGACCCACAAGTACCATGAGAAAAAGAGACGAGACGGCTCAGAAGGTAAAGGTGCCAGCCATCAAGCCTGACGATCCAAACCTTAGCCCTGGAACCCACAGAACAGAACAATCCTGCAGGTTGTCCTCTGGGCCCCACATGTGCACGCATACACACACATACATACGTATAGAGCATGAAGATGTAAAGAAAGAAGCTAGGCTGTCCCCAGCGAATGACATAAAATATACACAACAATTCACAAGGCCTGGCCAGGCACTGCACAGACGGCCAGAGGATCAAGGCCACCCTGACGTTAGGACTACCAGACACAGAAGCGCCAGGGCTGTGTCCCACATGCAAGTCTCTCCTAAGCACACTGCGCAGGGTCAGGTCCACAGCACGGTGCTGACAGGACAGGAAGTACCTGCACTGCCTGCCCCCCGGGGAACTCTCCACCCGGCGGGGACCGTGTGACATCGACCAAGGCATGAGAGAGCAACTACGGAGTACCTGGCCGGTACACAGCAGCACACTTTGCGGGCAGTCACGGAGGCCTGCTGAGGAGGTCCTCGGAAGAACCCGGGTGATGTCTGCGGTAGGCGCACACCACTGCGCTCAGCACACGTGGGCACGTGACGTGCTGCTACTAAGTGTCTCTCTGCCCCATCCTGGGTATCCCTGGGCCTGTAGCTAACATCCCAGCACTCAGCTCTACAAGGTCTCTGGCCCCTGCTACTGGGCACAGCAGGAAGTGCTCTATGATGGTCCTGGCCCTGCAGACTGGGGACAAAAAGTCCAGACAGGAAGTGACCTCCCAGATCAAGAAACAATTAGGGGACACAGGATTAGCAAGTATATGGTTTCCGGGGCAGGCCCATTCAGGGAAAGGCACTGTTGGTAGTGTCAGCAGAGACAGAGGGAAATGGGGCAAGGACCAGAGCTGGGCTAAGGATGGTGAACCCCACCCACAGCAAGCAGAAGTCTTCAAAGGTGTCACTTATTCCCAGAGCCCCTGGACAGGACCCCAGAAGGCCTCTTGAACCACTTACTCTTGTCACAATGTCGGTTCAAGTGCAGGATGTTGAGGTCAGCTTGGAACTGAGGCCCCACCATGATCTCCTGCAGAGGCAAGGGCCAGGGGTCAGGGTCAAGAAGTGACCAGCAGAAACAAAGCCGGGACCCCATAGGCACAGTGGCTTTAGGCAGAGGCTGTCACTCAGAGCTGTGGGTCTGCCTGCCAGTGCCCACTTCCACACTGTGGTGGATGGGACAGAGCACCCTGCTGCCTGGCCGCTGGACCACATCACTGGCTCAGCCATCCCCAGAGCAACAGACTCACAGCCCAGGTCCACACACACAGCGGGCCCCACCCAACCCTGAAGCCACAGGGCCACCCTGCCTCTGAGAGGGGGCTCAAAGCCTGTGGGGCCCTGGAGGCACATGGGTAACTGGGATAACCGCGCAGCTCCGCACCTTCTTGCACTTGTTGGAAGGGAGTGCATCCTCCTCAGCGTCAGAGGAGGCCGAGGAGCCTGGGCCATTGTCGCCAGCCAAGAACCGGGCTGCAGAGAGACAGACAGTGAGGGGCACCCACTGGGGCGCGGCTGGCCCTTCCAGGGGTCCTCGATGGCAGCTCATCCTGCGGCTCCCACCTTGCACCATGGCCACCCAGCTACTAGAAGCTGGCAGCCCCGGAGGGCCCCTCTGGCAGCCTGAAGCCACAATCCTGAACTGCCAGGCACTGCTAGGACCCACTCCTATCTCACTCAATGCAAACCCACCTTGTGGCGATTCACAAGACAGGACCCGAACCCTACCCTGGGCCACCATGGCATGTCCCCTGCAATGCCCCCAAGCTCAGGCCCTGCATGTGTGCCTATGTGACACACAGCCATGATGGAGGAAGGTTCAGTGACACCTACACCCATTCTGGTTATGAAAGAGGTCCGAGGCCTCATGGGAGGTGACAGATGGGGTGAGGTCATCAGCAGAGGACTGTGTCTCTTCCTCTTCTTCCCCCGAAAGCAAGTCCTTGGCTATCTGCTCCTTTGAACAAGACAGTAAACAAAGTGTGGCAACTGCTTTACCAACACCCAACACCAACACAAAAGGCCAAGTCTGCGCCAGCTCTAGCTACCATCCGTGCTAGTCTGAGTCTAGACCACACCTGCCCTCCGGAGCTCTAGCGCTCTTGCTCCTCTCCCAGCTGCAGTTCCCCGGGACAGCATCCATCACCCAGGCGGCTGGCCCAACCCAGGGCAGTCTCCATGGTTGTGCCAGTGAGGAGAAAGCCATGCGCTTGGCCGTGCTGACCGAGCAGTTCCCCCACCCCAGCCTCACTTCCCTCCGGCTCACCTCCCACACAGGGCAGTCAGGTGCCTTCCTGGTGCCCTCTCGGGGAGACTCCCACTCACCTTGTCTAAGGTCATGTCCGGGAGGGTTGGGGCTGTGTCACCACCCTCGCTCTCCTGCTCAGAGATGGGGTCTGACGACTCATACCCATACAATGCGAGGAGCTCACCCAGGGGCATGTCGCTGCTCTGGGAAGGAGTACAGGCCCATCAGAGGGCAAAGCCTAGGGCTCTGCCTGAGTCCCACCGACCTACACAGCCCGGACCCCTTGTCACTCCTCAGCCAGTCCCCATGGGCAGCAAACCTGCATCAGGACCACCGAGGTGGTGAGCTGTACGGAGACACAGCAGGCTGGAGCAGAGGCTGGGCCAGCAGAGCACAATGCAAAGCACATATGCATGGGGCTGGGCCACAGGGAGAGCAACGGGCACAGGCTGGTGAGCCCCTATACCTGGGCAATGAAGTCCTTGTCCAGCTCCTCCTCCTCCGGCTTGTCAGGACACTGCAGGGCCTCGGCACAGCCTTCTCGGAGGCTGTAGTTCTGGGACAGGAGCTCGGCGAGGTTGAACTGAGGGTCTGCAGAGCCCATTGATACCACTGCGGAAGAGTTCACAGGTAGACAGGGTGTGGGAACTGACTGGGCTAGGTCTGGAGAGACACAGAGACTGGGCAGGAGCAGATGGTCTAGAAGGACACTAGGGCTACAAGACTGGAGGCATCAGTCAGGCGCCAGCGGAAGGCCATGAAGGGTCCCAGGTCTGGCCCCACTGGCATAGCCCTGGCTCCCAATATACACACAGGGGCACACAGGCAGCACCAGGCAGGTCACTATAGGCGCACCAAGCTGTATAGATATAGACTATCTGCAGAGCCACCTCCATGTGACGCCTACGGTGACAGAAACCTGTAACAGTTCACCTTCATGCACCCACAGCAGGTGACCAGCAGACCACTAGAGGCCTTAAAGCCACCAAGCAAGCAGCCACCTCAGAGAGGGCCCTCCTTGGTCATTCTGAGTCAGCTAGCACTGTCCCACAGCTCCAAGGATAGGGAGTGCCCTGACCATGATACACACCTCCCGCTGTCGGGGGACACGAAGCCTCCCTGGACTGTCACCCAGGCCTGCTCTGTGGAGATCTGGGGCAGAAGGGGGCGGTACCTGCCGTGGTCTGCAAGCTGGGCTCCCGAGGGCACAGGCTGTGTGCAAGGCAGGAGGCCGCGTGAGGACTCTGCCTCTCCAGCGAGGAGGCCTGCAACAGAAGAGTGGCGGGGCCGGCTCAGGGGCCAGAACCCACCGGCAGACCTCGGATGAAAGCCTGGCCAGTGGGTAACCTTGAGGACTGCAGGGGAAGCAGCCTGGGGCCTGACTGTCCAATCACAACTCCAATGTGGAAGGACCTTGAAGACAGACTACAGACACAAAAGGATACATTTGTAACACTCTTGACAAAAAAGGCCAAAATAAACAACTTAGAGAGTGGAACAACACTCGACCGTCCTGGTGGCCGCACAGGTCCCAAGGCACTGACTCCAGTGTATGTAGCAGCACACTGAGCAAAACCAGGCCCAATGAACGCCAGGCCTGAGCCTAGGCGCGGCCCCCACACATCTGCGCACTCCCCGCCCCGTCAACACTGGCCAAGGCTCCAGTGTCATTGCAAGAGAATGAAATAAAGGGACAGAAGACAGACGCCTCTTCCATCTGGTGACACTGAGTCCGTTCAGCAGGGCTAAACTTCATCACGTTCCCACACTCCAGCTGTGGACCTCCCCTACACTGAGAAAGCAGCCCCACTCACAGCAGCTGGGATACACACAGCACTCGGTCTCTAAGAGCACAGCCATGTTGACAGAGGAAAGACCGGTACCAGAGAAAGAGCCATGTTCCTGACCAAGGTCCTCACACTGGAAGATGGAGACCCTCTGAAGTGGCCTAACCAATGCCACCTGAATTGTGGAAACTGATTCCAAAAACACACACGGAAACTTGACACTCAGAAGAGCCGCAATCATCCTGAAACAGGGTGCTTCTGCCTTCAGAAAGGACTACAGAGCCCCGATCTCAGCAGGGTGGTGTGGGCCCACAGACAGGCACGGGTCGGAGGCACACAACTGGGACCTCAGAGACAGACTCTGGGACAGCCTGGACACCCAAGTCCAATACACGTGGAGCAGACAAACAGATGGACAGGGCATGAGACAGAACTCACAGAACGGGGAAGAAACACCCACAAAACACGCATCTGGAGTGGTGCGTGTGTGCAGACTGCTCACTGAGCGAAGAGAACAGTCCAGCTAGCAAGCGTCGCAGGCTGTCAGAACATCTCTCCAAAGACACACGAACGGTGAGGAGACGCGGAGCTCCTCTCACAAGAAAGCGCACAGTCCACAAGGAAGCCCAGAATGGGTGAGGGGCATCAGAGCCCCAAGGGACAAGGTGCAGCACCAGGAAGGCCTGGAGGCATCACCGAGGTCCCCTGAGATCAGTGCCTCTACTCCAGGAGAAAGGAAAATATACAGGAAAACCAGTCACCTCGGTCAGAAGTGGGAGGACCACATCCACCTGCTGAAGGACAGGTGACACAGGGCATCACACAGCCAAGAGCAGGAGCAGGGGCTCCCACACATGACGCCAAAACAAGGAGCGACCCTGCAAGCACTGCAAGCAAAAGGCCAGTTGTCAGGGCGCCATGATAGGAAATGTCCCCCATACTGAATCCGGAGACAGGAAGCGGGACAGAGTGACTGCTCAGGGAAACAGGGCTTCCTTTAGAGGTTATGGAACGCTCTGAAATTGATTGTGTTGGTAGTTACACGACTCCGAAGATACCAAAAGCCACTGCATCATACACACTAAAAGGGAGACAACACTGGGTATACCTCAGCAAAGCAGAGAACGAGAAAAAGAGAAAGAGAGAGAGAAACATGAGGCTAGAGATGGCTACAAGCACTGGGTTCAGTTCCCAGCAACCACATGGTGGCTCATGGCCATGTGACTCCACTTCCAGGCAATCCTGCACTCTCTTCTGGCAAAACACTCATACACAAACATATGTATCCCAGCACTAGGGAGGCAGAGGCAGGCGGATCTCTGTGAGTTCCAGGCCAGCCTGGTCTACAAAGCATGTCTAGGAACTGTTTGTTCAACAGCCAAGGTTTTTTTTTGTACACAGAGAAATCCTGCCTGGAAGTAAAAATAAATAAATAAACACACACACACAAAGTGTGTGTGTGTGTGTGTGTGTGTGTGTGTGTATATATATATATATATATATATATATATATATATATATATATATAT